ACCTGTACCAAGTGTTTATTTGGATTTTTTCGTTGGAAGTGACAGGAATCCAGCTAGAACTAGATTAAACCTAAAGAATATGCTGGGTAATAAAATCCAATAAAGAGCAGAACAACAATAGTCATTTGAACAACGAGTAAGGATGTCTCAGGAGTGACCGAAACTGGGAGCTTAAATCCCAGCGTGATTCTCTTGAGCTCTTGGCTCAACTGCTTCTCTCTTCTTTCTTCTCTGCAGGGCGCCTTCCTTGTCTTCAATGATGGAAGACATGGCTGCACACAGTTCCTGAGTATTTATGGTTTTCAACACCCAAAAAAGAGTGACTTGTGAGGCCGGCGCTGTGGCGTAGCGAGTAAAGCCGCCACCTGCAGTGCCGGCATCGTGTCCCAGCTGCTCCTCTTCCAATCCAGTTCTCTGCTATGGCCTGGGAAAGCAGTGGAGGATGGCCCAAGTGCTTGGGGCCCTATACCCATGTGGGAGACCCGGAAGAAACTCCTGGCTCTCAGCTTCAGATCAGCACAGCTCCGGCTGTTGTAGCCAGTTGGGGAGTAAACCAGCGGACAGAAGATCGATCTCTCGATCTCTCTCTCTCTCTCTCTCTCCCTCTCCTCTCTCTGTGTAACTCTGCCTTTCAGGTAAATAAATAAATCTTAAAAAAAAAAAAAAGAGTGACTTGTCTAAGACCACGATGAGGACGGGTTTCATGGCCCCATCTTTGGGCAGGATGATTGCGACCAAGGGCAGGATTAGGTGAGAGCGACCGCCCCCCGGGTAGCCCTGCAGATGGAGGAGATGGTTCCCAAGAGGCAGCTGTGGTGCTGGGGCGCCCACCCGTCTGTGTTCACTCTCGCAGCCCTTGGGAAGGTCCCTTCCCATGGACAACAACCTGGATGAGGTATGTATACGTAGCGTGGTTGGGAGCACCGACCTTCTTTTTTTTTTTTTAAGATTTATTTATTTGAAAGGCAGAGTTACAGAGAGAGAAGGAGAGGCAGAGACAGACAGAGAGAGAGGTCTTCCATCTGCTGGTTCACTCCCCAGTTGGCCCCAACAGCCAGAGCTGCTCAGATCCGAAGCCAGGAGCCAGGAGCTTCTTCTGGGTCTCCCACGCAGGTGCAGGGGCCCAAGTTCTTGGGCCATCCAGAGAGCTGGATCAGAAGTGGAGCAGCCAGGTCTTGAACCGGCGCCCATATGGGATGCTGGTGCTTCAGGCCAGGGTGTTAGCCCGCTGCACAACAGTGCCAGCCCCACCAACCTAACTTTTTAAATCTCACCCTTTTTGAGAGAGTCCACCAACCTTTTGGGTGCCATTTTCTTGCACAAACAACTGAAACATTCTAATGAGCAACCCCTCGCTCCAGAGATAACTTCCTAGATGCCCATGGTACAGGAGAGTCTTATAGAAAGCATCCAGGATCGATTCACTCCCTGGTCCCTCCTAAGAGCTCATCAGGGATCAGACACCCAAAAAAGATCTGCAGAACTGGATTCTTTGCTCATTCTTCCAGAATCCTTGTGACATGGCCGTTCTGAGCTCTGCAGAGACCTCGCACTAGAAGTCAAAGACAAAAATGGCACTTAGTGGAGGACGGGGTGTCCTCAGGTCCCAGCAGGAAGAAGAGACTGACACCAAATATTCACCAAGTGTGTTTGCCTGGGTCAGACAGCACACCAGGAGAGGACAGGGATTTGAAAGAAGACTGCAAATGGAGTTGGTAGATACCTGGGGGTGGGAAGAGTGCCAGTCCTGCAGCAGACCCAGACGGTGGTGACCCTGCCGCAGAGGGTGGGCTCTCCAAGTCATCAGAAGCTACACTGGCAAGCCTGCTCCAGCTCGGCTTCCACTCACAACAGTATGATGAGGACTCTGGGGACAGCACCTCAAGGGTGGTGGGGAGGAGCCACTGCTCCCTGCTCTCCTCCCTCCCCTACCCCCACGACCCCAGAAAAGGACTAGAGAAATAGAGCAGCATGGGGCCACTTGTTGAGCTGTCGGATGCCACCCCTCCACATTTCGACCTGAAAAGTCATTTAAGAAAAAACAGAAAACAGCAAGTGTTGGTGAGGATGGGGGAAAGTTGGAACCCCTGTGCACTCCTGCTGGGAATGCAAAATGCACAGTTGCTATAGAAGACAGTACCCAGCTGGTGCCATGGCTCACTAGGCTAATCTTCCGTCTGCAGCGCTGGCTCTCCGGGTTCTAGTCCCGGTTGGGGCGCCGGTTCTGTCCCGGTTTCTCCTCTTCCAGTCCAGCTCTCTGCTGTGGCCCGGGAAGGCAGTGGAGGATGGTCCAAGTGCTTGGGCCCTGCACCCGCATGGGAGACCAGGAGGAAGCGCCTGGCTCCTGGCTTCGGATCAGCGCAGCACGCCAGCCGTAGCGGCCATCTGGAAAGTGAACCAACGGAAGGAAGACCTTTCTCTCTGTCTTTCTCTCTCTCTCACTGTCTAACTCTGCCTGTCAAAAAAGAAGAAGAAGAAGAAGAAGAGGAGGAGGAGGAGGAGGAGGAGGAAGACAGTACCCAGCATGAATCCTCAAAAACTACAGATAAAATCATCATCTAATCCAACAATTCTACTGCTGGATGCGTAGCCAAAAGAATTGCAGGCAGCGGCGCCAGCACTGGGGCAAGGCAGGTTAAGCCGCCACTCGCAAGGCTGGCATCCCATATCAGAGCACCAGTTCAGGTCCCAGATGCTCTGCTTCTGAACTAATGAGGTACCTGAGCTCCTGTCACCCACGTGGGAGAACTGAACAAAGTTCCTGGCTCCTGGCTTCAGCCTCGAAGATCTGGCCATTTGGGGAGTGAACCAGCAGCAGTCTCTCTCTCTCTCTCTCTCTCTCTCTCTCTCTCTCTCTCTCTCTCTCTCCCTCCCTTCCTCCCTCACTCTCTCTCCTTCTTTCTTTCTTTTTCTGCCTTTCAACTAAATAAATAAACATAAACACATAAATCTTTTTTAAAAAAATAATCCAAGGTAGGATCCCAAAGAGACACCTATATGCCCATCAACAGCGTGTTTTTCACAAGAGATGAAATGTGGAAGTAACTCAAGTGGCCGTGTAGGGATGAGCGGTTAAGGAAAAGAAACGATATGCAGACACTGGAATATTATTCAGCCTTTAAAAGAGGAAATTCTGACATATGCCACAGGTGGATGGAAGGTGCAGGTGTTAACGCTCAGTGAAATAAGCCAGTCATAAAAATATACGGGCTGTCTGAGGGCATTTAGATGAGATACTTGTCACACTCACAGAAAGAGTGGTGGTTAGTAGGGGCTGGGGAGGGAGGAGTTCCTACTTAATGGGCGGAGTTTCCAGTTCACCAGATGAAAGAGTAACCGAGATGAATGGGGGTGAGGATTGCTCGCTATTATGAGTGTAGTTCACACCAAACCACACTCTGAAAATGGTGAAGATGGGAAGTATTCTATGGATTTTATTATGACAATAAAAAGTTTGGGGAAAAATAAGTCAGCTGAGCAAATGCCTCCAAGCAATCTGGCTGGGGTACTTAGAGAAGGGGCTGGCCCTTGCAAGAAGAAAGGACCCGGGATGACAGGAGGAGGCCCATGGCCTCAGTGTGTTGGGGAACACAGTGACGGGGACTGCAGCAGTCCTGCTCTCCATCCCCAAGGACTTTGTGGACATGAGGGTGTCTGCCCCCGCCCCCCCCCCCCAAGACCTGCGCAGGTGCTGATGGAGAGGACTGGGGGCTAGGGGGCCGCTGCCCAGTGAGCTCCAGGGGCACCTGAATTTTCTGTCTCCGCCTGGTCTAAATTCCGGTGTGTGCCGCTGTCCCACAGCCGGGGCCTGAATCCATGAAGGGCCAGCGGTGGCCTGCAGCAGACAGGGTAGAGGTGGCTTTCTGGAGGCAGAAAGGGCCTCTGGAGGAGGGTGGGAGGAAAAGAGGCCGCCAAGGTTGCTCCCGGTCCTGACACCCGCCACACACCACGCCCGGAGCCCGGACTCCCGTCAGAGGGTCCCAGCCTGCTGGCTGGGGAGGGGGACTGAGCCGAGGAGGGGGGGACCCTGGAGAGGAGGACTGAGGCAGGCGGGGTGGTGGAGGTGCAGCGTGTGCGGCATTCAGGACTGCACGGGACGCGGAGAACCGGCTGGGGACGCTCCCCCGGGGCCGCCCCCGCGCCTCGCTCAGCATCCCCCGGCCCTGCGGGCTCCTGCTCGCGCGTCTGGGCTCCCTGGAGGCTCCCTCTCTGGCGTCTGCCCCTGGCCTCGGTCTCCGCGACGGTCCCTCCATTTGCGTTTGCCTCCTCCGGCTGCGGCTCTCGGTCGCAGCCCTTGCTGCCGCCCGCGTCGCAGCCCTATCCCCGCCTCATTCTTTCTCGGTCCCCCTTCTGTCCCCACCTCCCACTCTGTCTCTGCCTTGCCCCCATCTGTCTCTGTCCCCATCGGCGTCTCTCTTGTCCCCGTCTCCATCACCGTTTCTGTCCCTGCCTTTCCGTCTTCTCCCTGCATCCACGTCCCCTGCCCGTCCCCGTCCCAGGCTCCGTCCCCTCCTCGTCTCCGTCTCCAGCCCCCCTCCAAGGGCTGCCTCCACCGACCCCGCTGGGATGGGACTGCGCTGGGGGCGGGACTGCGGGGCGGGATCGGAATAACTCGGTTATCGGGGCAAATTGAATTAACTTCTTCACACGAGCGCCGCCGGGCCTGCCTCCCCGGGCTCCCGCGGGGCCGCAGGTGGAGAGGCCTGGGAAAGAGGTCGAGACCCTCCGGCTGAGCACGATGCGTAGACACCGAAGGTCTGGTGCTGACTGGAGCAGGATGAGGGCCCTGGGGATCCGGTCCGCGCAGCTCCGCCCGACACCTCGGGAGCCCTAAGAGCGCGGCAGAGACCCTTTGGGGTGGGGGGTCGGGGTGGCTGAGGGCGGGGCCTGGGCCTCCTAGGCCCCGCCCCCTCGGAGCTCGCCCCGCCCCGCCCCCCTCCGCGGGGTCCTGCGCGTTAAAAGGCGCGCGGTCCGGCCGGGCTGCACTTGCGTTGCACCCGGGCAGAGTGCGGCCGCGACGGGGCGGGCGGACTCTCTGGCGCTCAGAGCCAGCCTCGGGTCCTCAGCGCCTGGCGCTCGAACCTCCGTCCCGACCTCCACCCGGACCCGGACCCAGACCCCGACCCGGCCCGGCCCGGCCCCCCGCCCCCGCCCCCCGGGCCGATGGACTACTCCTACCTCAATTCGTACGACTCGTGCGTGGCGGCCATGGAGGCGTCCGCCTACGGCGACTTCGGCGCCTGCAGCCAGCCTGGCGGCTTCCAATACAGCCCCTTGCGACCCGCCTTCCCCGCGGCGGGGCCACCCTGCCCCGCACTCGGCTCCTCCAACTGCGCGCTTGGCGCCCTACGCGACCACCAGCCCGCGCCCTACTCGGCAGGTGAGCGCCGCCCCGGCCCAACACTCCCTCCAAATCCTGCGGATCCCGCAGCCCCTGCCCTACGAGTGAATACGACTTGCCCCCACGACCACCCCCATCCCCGCCTTGACCAGGCCCTCCAACGCCCTGCAAGACCCCAGTAACATGAGGTTTCCCTTGGGCAGGGACGAGCCCCACCCTCTCATACCGGCCACCCCTTTCTCGCGCTGCCAAATCTCTTCGGACCAAGGAAACAAGTCCTCGGTCCAGCTGGATTCCTCACTAGGCCCTCTCTGATCACTCTCAAAGGCTGACCATCAACCTCTCCATAACCTGGATCCTCACAAGAGGCTCCTAGCTCGGTGGTCCAGTCAGATCGCTTCAGCCTTGTGGTGCGCAAACACAACCTCCCTCCCCAGCAAGGAGCCATGCGGCGGCTGAGCAGCCCATATGGGAAGCTTCTTAGAGCCCCCGGCACCACCAGGCCCCTCCCTCCCTGCCTTGGACTCACACCTTCTGCATCCCCAAAACCAGTTCCCATAGGCTGCAGAGAAGGGGGCTTAGGTCATTAAGCCACTTTCACTTCCCCCTCCTCCCGCCCCTGCCCGGGACTCTCCCAGCTACAGTCCTGCAGAAGCCAGAGCTCCTGGGCCCCCACGCCACCGTTAGAGGCAAGTCCCTGGCAGAACCCTCCGTCCCTGAGCCGCTCAGCCATCCCTATCCCTCGGATGAGAGTCCCAGCCTGCCCCACCCAACCTCCCTGTCTCCTTCCCACCTAGGAAGACCACTAGGGACCCAAGTAGGAGCCCTGGCCTGGGGGTGCAGGGTGGGGGACACATGGGTCTGTAGAAAGGAGAACCAGGGAGATGTAGGCCGTCTGGAACAGGGGTGGGAACCCTGGGCCAGATGAGGATGGAGACTGGGGAGGTGGGGAGCATGGGCCCCAGAGTGATGGTGTTCTGAGCCCAGAGGGATGGGGCTAAGGTAGAGAGATGGGAAGATTGGGGGACCTGAGAGAATGGGGATCCCAGGTTGGAGGGCTGCAGGTAAGAACCAGGTGACAGGGGCAGGAATTATGGGGAATGGGGGCTGAAGGAAGACTGGAGACGGAGTTCAGAAAGATGGCGATAGGAGTGGGATGTTGGTAACGAGGATGAGGGGTGACGGGGACCCAGAGAGGTAGGACAAAGATGAAGGAGACTGGGACCCCTCGGAGAACATGGATGGGAAGCTAGTGTCAGAAACCCAGACTGGGGGGCAGTGAGACTGGGGGGGGGGAGGGGAGCAAGAGATGGGGGGGAGGAGGGGGGATTGCCTTGGCAGGGATGTGAGAAGGTGGGGGGGGGGTGCAAAAGGAGATGGAGGAACTTGGGTAGGGGAGAAATAAGAATCCTTCCCCGTGGGCACAAAGAGAAGAGTGGCCAGAAGAGGGAAGTTGAAGAGAGATTCAGATGAGGAAGAAGAGAGGGGTGCACCTGGGGGGGGGAGCGAGGATGTGAGACAGAGCTGAGGAAAGCAAGGAGCTGGTGGGGGAGGGAGGGAGAGGGGCCAAGTGTGCACACCCAGGGAGCATGGCAGTGGACCCGCAGGAGGCCCTTGGTGGGGAAGGGGGCTCATGACTGCCCCCGGGACCTCCTGCTGCTGCTGGGACCCGACGCACATCCAGGGCTAGGCTGGACAGAGCAGGACCTGAAGTCAGGCAGGCAGAGAGGCTGAGGGAAGCGGGCGGGAACCAACGGCAGGTCGGCAGGTCGGGAGGCCTCTGCTGGTTTCCTGGTTTCAGCCCACTCTCCCGCTCCCGGGCTCCTGGTTCCTTGCGCCCGGGGGCCTCCTTCATTGCTGCGGGCCGCGGAGCCATGCAGAGGGATGACGCCCAGGGGCCAGGGTAGGGCTAGGGGCGGTGCACCAGTCCCTCTGGGGCAGGACACAGCCGGCTGAACTCTGCCTCTGACCCCCGTCCACCCTCGTTGCCCCCCCCCCGCCCTCCCCCACACACCCTCAGTGCCCTACAAGTTCTTCCCGGAGCCGTCAGGCCTGCATGAGAAACGCAAGCAGCGGCGCATCCGCACCACTTTCACTAGCGCGCAGCTCAAGGAGCTGGAGCGCGTCTTCGCGGAGACCCACTACCCGGACATTTACACGCGCGAGGAGCTGGCACTCAAGATCGACCTCACCGAGGCTCGTGTGCAGGTGCGTGTATGCGCGCGGAGGGCTGCTCCGGGTCCGTGCCCTATGCCTGGGGTTCGCGGACAGCTGCACTGTGGAAGCCAGGATCGAGGGCTAAGGAGCAGGGTGCAGTCTGGGGTCAGCCGGAGGAGGCAGCGGGGGCTGGGACTTGAAGGCCCTGGGGGACCTGAGCTGCTTAGGGCCATGCTGCTCCATTTGGACTTCCTCTTCAGTCTCGCTTCACAAGATGCTTGAGAAGAAGAGGGGCCTAGTGGGGAGAGGGATCCCGGGCGGCTTCAGGGTCGGTGGGGGGAATGGACAGGCAGCACCTCGGGGAGCTCCTCCCCAACGCTGCTGTGGTGGTGGTGGTAGGTGACGGCGGCGGCGGCAGCGGCGAAAAGCTGAGCCCAAGACAGGCGCAGGGCAGTAAAGAGCCAGGCCGGGGCGGATCCTGTTGTCTGAGTACAGAGGATCAACTGGCCGCCTTGACGCAAGGCGCTGGACAAAAGGTCTCCCCAATGCCCTAACCCCCCAGGCGGCAGAGAGGCTTCCTAAAAGAGGGCAAAGGAAGAGTTCCCTACAGGAGACCAAGAATACTGGGAAGCAGCGGGGTCCCTGAGTGAGCAGATTCCAAGGGCACAAAGCCGACGACCTAGATCGGGGGTGGGGGTGGGGGGACGCTGAGAGGGCAACTGGCGGGGTGAAGGAGGGCTGAGAGCCAGCGCTCACAAGGCGGCGCACCGGTCCCTTTCCGACCGACATGCTGGCTGACTGGCCTCCTGTGCCCGCAGGTCTGGTTCCAGAACCGCCGGGCCAAGTTCCGCAAACAGGAGCGCGCGGCCAGCGCCAAGGGCGCGGCGGGCACGGCGGGAGCCAAAAAGGGCGAGGCGCGCTGCTCGTCTGAGGACGACGACTCCAAGGAGTCCACGTGCAGCCCCACGCCCGACAGCACCGCATCGCTGCCGCCGCCGCCGCCCGCGCCCAGCCTGACCAGCCCGCGCCTGAGCCCCAGTCCGCTGCCCGCCGCCCTGGGCTCTGGGCCCGGACCCGGACCCGGGCCCCAGCCTCTCAAGGGCGCGCTGTGGGCCGGCGTGGCGGGCGGTGGGGGCGGCGGGCCCGGCACGGGCGCGGCCGAGCTGCTTAAGGCCTGGCAGCCGGCGGAGCCCGGGCCCGGGCCCTTCTCGGGCGTTCTGTCCTCCTTTCACCGGAAGCCCGGTCCCGCCCTGAAGACCAACCTCTTCTAGCCCCCGGCCTCTAGAGGCTTTGAGCCTTTCCCGAGACGCCCCAGCCCCTCCAGGACCCAACGGAACCCGTCCCGTCCCGGCGTCTGCCTGGAAGTTCCCATCTGTCCCCACTCCCATGGTGTCAGACCCCTACGTGTGCCCTCCCCGACTCTGGAGTCAGGGCCGCCCCGAAGAGTAGAGTGCTTTTCACGGGGACCCCTCCGGGAGAGCCCAGAGCCCTTCCCAGCTCGGTTTTCTTTGGAAGCGGGATCAAATGACACCTGTCCCTGAAAGTGCCCCCAGGGGAAGGTCCTCAGAGAGGAGCGGCCCCGCCCCCTCCGCTGGCTCCGCTGCTGGCTGGGTCACTCCTTATCTCGGAGGTCACTTCTTACCTCCTCCCCATCCCTGCCAAGGCCGCGGTCCCTGGGCTGAACAGCAGTCTGAGGGGACCTGCCGCCCACGCGCCCCTCCGGCTCCTCTCCCTCCAGCGGGTCTGGCGCAGAGTGCCCCTGTCATCGCGGGGGCTGCCCCAGGAGGAGGCAGAGGCTTCCTTTCACCTGATTTTTTTTTTTTTTTTTTTTTTGGTTGTTGCTGTTGTTCCTTTTCTTTGAAAAACTTGTAATTTATTGAGGTGAGTTTTGCTCAATCCAAATAAAACTTAATTTATTGAAGACATCCCACCAGCAGCCCTTCTGAGTGCCTAGGACAGGGCCAGGGCTATTTGCAGGAACCATCCCGGTTGCATCCAGCGAGGAACCAAGCCACGCGGTGCATTCCCAGCACGGGGAGGGGGGACAATCCAGGAGATGGCCTGCCCCTCCCCAGCGACCCCAACAATATTAAGGTGCCCTCCCTCCCCAAACCCACACAGAAAAGCTTAAATCACCATGGCCCAGGTCTCGGGCTATTCCTTCATTTCCGGACAGGCAGACCCCCCCCCCAATCAGGACAGTTGGAGGAGGTCTTGGTGGAGCTCCTCCCCCATGGAATAGACAGGGGAAGGCCACAGACACCACGGGACCATGTCGGGAGGGCCCCAACCAGTATCCTGGGTCCCAGGGGCACCACCCCTGGGGCTGGTAGGAGAGCCCCAGGGAAGGACAGCAACCAAGGAGGTGGAGTAACCATGGCAACTGGTGCCTGGGCCTTAAAGGTGAGGGGCAGGATGTCCTACTTAGGGCATTTGCGTGACTGGGCAGTGGGGAATGCAGATTCCCAATAAATAGGCAGCCAGGCACTGCCCCAGCCTTAACTTCCCAACGCCGGGGCTATGGCTGCGCCTTCGTCCAGGAGGAAGGGTGCCCACTTCCCAGCTTGGTGGGGTCACTGTCATTACTTGCTGAGCTGTAAGGTATCCAGAAGGAGGCGCTTGTGAGCTGGGTCCTGCACCCCAGCCTCCTCCAGGTCTTCCTCCGTGATGTCACTAAGGAGGGGGAAACAGAGGCTGGAGCTGGGCTGGAAGATCCTGATGGACCCCGGGGTTCTGCCCCTGGGGGTCAGCCCCAACCCATCCGCCTCCAACCCCGCCCCCACCTGAGAAACTCCAGGTCGTCCCAGCCATTGTGCACCAGGCCCTCCTCATAGCGCTCCAAGCCGATGGCCCGCAGCCAGGCACCCATGCCCGCCTCGCCCAGCCCGCCGGCCCGCCCGCCCTGCGGGCACGGAGCCTGGGGAGACAAGGCAGGTCATGGTGAGCACTGTGAGTGCCCCCTCCCCCCCAGATGGAAACAGCTGCAGCCAGCCACAAACTACCCATGCTCTGGGGGAGAGGAGGCGAGCACGGGACCGAGTCATTGGTCCCCCCAGGTCCCGGGGCCCAGCCCAGGGCGGAGGGCACATCGGGGCCCACTGGTCAATGGAGTGAAGGATCCCGCAGTCGGCGGGCAAGCACGCTCCTCGGGGACACAGGGCCAGTCACCTCCTCTGCCAGGTCCTCCTGGATGCTCTCTCGGATGCGGGGCGGAGGGAAGCTGAGGGGCCGGCCATAGTCTGAGGGCAGTCCTCGGGGTGGCTGCAGATCCAGGGGGCTTGGCAGGAGCACGGAGCGGGCAGGCCCTGCCGGAGCATAGTCCACCTCGCTCAGCGTCTTGGCCATCTGCAGCACGGAGCAGGAGCGGTCGTCCCCGCTGGCGACATCGCCCAGGAAAGTGCTAGCAGGGGAGGGGCCTGGGGGCAGCGGGGGCCTTGGGTGGGCCTTGGGAGGGGGTGGGCCCCGGGCCTCACCCCCACATCGACCCCGGACTACCGGCCCCGGCAGAGGATCCAGACTGAGGGGCAGGAAGATGGCGGAGTCTGGGAGTGGGGGGGGAGGGAAGTCCGGAGGGGGCAGTGTGCCCCCCGACTCCTCATCTGATGAGCTCCCCTCTCCTGCCCGGGGGGGCCGGTGGCGCCCCAGCTGTGGGGCAGGCACGGTGACAGCCACTTTGTTCTTGGTGGCAGGCGGGACGGGGGCCCTGGCAGGCGAGGGTGGCTCTGGCGGCAGCAGCTGGTGTGGGACCCCTTCGAGGACGTAGTAGGCGGGGTTGTTGAAGCTGTTCTTGGGTGGGGGGGCCGCCACCCCTTCCGGCTCAGGAGCCCCCTCTGGCTTCAACCTGGGTTGGGGAGCAAGGAGGACTAGATAAGCACCCAGAAGGCCAAGGTGAAAGCCATGGAGGACAAGCTGGACGACTGGTGCGTGACCTGGAGCCCACACCTGCCCTCTCCTGCCCCTGGTTTGCTCATCTAGAGAGTCTAGCGGGGTGGGTAGGGGGTTGAATGCGTAACCCTAAACTCCCCGGCTTCGCTTGCTGAGACTCTCAGTCTTCTGACTCTGTAACTAAAACCTCCGGCAAACAGAGCCAGGTCTGAACTGCCCCCTGGACACCTGGGGTCTCCGCAGCATCTGGGGCAGAGCTGTGGAATCTTACTCAGGAATTCAAGTCATTTTTACTCAAGCCTTGGGGCTAAAACCAGAGACGATAAGTGAAAAAGCACCAAACTGTTCCAGGAGTTTTTGTTTAAATGCATGTGGCCACTGGCTACCCTCGGGTGCAAGCCTCCTCTCCCAGGGAAGGGGCCAGGCAGCACCAGCGCCCAGGACCCTGAGAGTTGTGGAAAGGAAGTCCCTCGGGCTGTAGTTTGGGAAACTATATTAAGCAGAGTCGAAAGGAAGTGTCCTTCCTTCTCCCCTGCCCAGAACCTCGGCTAGTGCTGTTGTACCCCGGGAATATCTAGGCAAAGACTCGGCAGGAAGCATCTCCCAAACCCATCTGACCGCACGCCCGTCTCCAGCGGGGCCCCGGGAGGGCAGAGTCCGAGCCAGCTCTGCTGACAGAGGGAGCTGTTTTTAAGGCAGGATCGAGAGGAAACACTGACTGTGCTCCCTTTGACTCGGAGCCACATCTAAGGGCAGCCTGGCTGGCTGGATCTGCCACGGGCATAAGGCCACCGCACCTCTGACCACGGGGTGGCCCAGGACCCTGAGGGGCAGGTACAGTGACGGACAGACTGGGGGGTGCGACAGGCTCCTTCTCTCACCTGGGGGTCAAGGGCTCCTCCCGGGGCACTGCTCGGGGTGGGGCTGGGGGCCTCCCCGTTGGTGGCGGTTTCTCTGGTTCTTCGAATAACTTGGACAGCGGGCAGGAGGCCTCTGTGGAGGCTGGCTTGCGGCTCCCTGACCTGCCCAAGGTGCACAGGACAGGGAGATGAAGTGGAGCTGACCGGAGCACCCAGGCACCCCTACACATGACACCCAACGCGGGCCCAGCTCACCTAGGCTCCTGGCTGCCTCGCGACACAGAGGGGGCTTTGCTCTTTGCTCCTGCCTCATCCTTATCAATGCTGATCCACTCTGGGTGGGTAGGGAGGGCAGACTCAGAGGGGCCCCAGGGTCCTGGGTCCCACAGACATGTGCTGGGCCTGCCAGCCCTGCCCAGCTCTTCCTGGGCAGGCCTACTCCCGGCCCTGGTCAGAGAACCTCCGAGTATCTCAGGGGTTCCCACGTGACCCCGCCCCACGTCCTCCCCTCCTGGACCCCATCTCCCACCCCCCACCCTTCCCAAGGGAGCCCCCACCGTAGAGCCGCTCCCGGGTGCCCAGGCGCTCCGTGGGCACCCGCACCTTCATGGAGCCGCGGATGTTGCCCGTCTCCTCGCCGCGGTGGGACAGGAAGGTCAGGAACTGCTGGGCCGTGCTGCCAATCATGGACTTGAGCGCAACCACGCACTCCCCTGAGAGGCAGATGGGATGGGCCGGCAAATTGCCAAACCTTTCTGGGGCCCTGCTTGGTTCTCCTGCCCCCTGGGCACCCCTCACCCCTCACCCCTCACCATAGGATTCATAGCCATCCATGGACTTGACTGTGAGCAAGAGGTGCTGGTCTTGCAGGTATTCGATGTCAGCCAGAATGGGTTTGAGCTGGGAGCAGGGAGGCCCGATAAGGAACAAAGCCCACAGCCACCCCGCCCGCCCCTCGCACCTGCTGCCTCTGACATGGCTTGCCCCTGCCCTCACGCCCAGCCATGCTCGCTCACAATCACTCTTTAAGGAAAGATCCCAGACCCTTAATGTAGAAGACAGCCCTGCCTGGGCCTTCCACAGTACTCAACATCACAGTAACTGATTTAACTTTTTGCATCGGTGGCAGCCAGTGTAGGACTTGACATTTAGCGAAGGCTCAAGAAATGCGGCTCCACAGCCTCCCAAGAAAGCAAACGCCCTGATCCTCACGCACGCCCAGCCCCCTCGCCCCCCCCCCCACACCCTGCGTGTCTGCCGGCCCTGCTCTCCCTCGCAGGCAGGCTCACCACTGCGTTCTGCCACAGCTTCACCCACAAGCCCCAGCCCTGCCCGCAGCCTCACCGTGGGTAGCTGGCGTGAGGACCATTGCACTTTGAGGAAGTTGATGTTATCACTGCTCTGGGCATCATTCTCGAAGCTCTTCTTGTACTCTAGGGCGGGGATGGGGACACCCAGCTGAGCGCCCCTCCCGCCTCCCTTTCCCTTCAGTAGGGGCTGACTGCTCTGGGCAGCCGCTGGCCCTCCCGCCCCTGGGGCCCACACTGCGCCCCAGGCCCCGTCTCTGACCCTCCAGGCAGGTGGAGTAGAACTCAATGAAGAACTTGGTGCGGCTGGCTGTCTTCACAATGGCCTCGATGCTCTCAAACTCGATGTAGGCCTGGTCCGAAGTCTTCGAGAGCCCTGAGGGGCACAGGAGGAGGACAGACAAGGGGGCTAAGAGGGCAAGAGAGGATCCCAGGAGCAACGGGGCAGGAAACTGAGGCCCTGGCAGAGCGGGAAGCAGGGCGAGGCGGGCCTTCCTGATCCTAAGCCACCAATGGGGAGACCCTGGAGCCCAGGCCGTAGATGAAAGACCCATCTCAGGGGGCTGGGGACCAGAAGTGCCTGCCCACTGACAATCTGCCACACCTCAGGCACACCTGGGCACACACGGGGCCCAGGGAGATGCAGACACAGAAGTGTGTTTTTACACACACACATACCCCTCTCACAGTGACCCAGGCAGACACCCTGACACGGCACATTCAGAGACACCCTGCACTTGCATGTACGAGTACACATACACTGATGTACATGTGCCCAGGCCACACCTGTGCGAGCCACCAAGCACACCCAGAATAGTCACCTTTCTTGGAGATGAACT